GTCGTGGCTGTCTGAGTGTATATTCACCACACCAACCTCCCAAATAACACCATATAGTCAACCAAAGGTTTGGTAGTGAGATTCACTATATCAAGTTTTCAACGTTTCTTGGGCACTCTATCTTAAATGAGACAACAAGTCTCTCTCTGTCTTTTTTAAGAGTGTTAAATTAATTATTAAACTTAGTATGATGGATATGAATTCATAACCTTTTAAACTTTACATATATTATTTATTATTAATAGCCAAATATACAAATTTATACATGTGAAGCAAAAAACTATTATAATTATATACAATAGATCCTTTCAAACACGAGAGCTCATCTATAGCCATTGCTACTCTGTGTAATATTCCAACAAAGGGAACCCTGTATCGGAGAGGAAGCTTTGTAGTTGCAATCCTTTAACCTGAATGTCACATTGCCTCTGTACTGGCTGGTTGGTGTCAACATTAGTTCAACAACAGTGCTTTAAGCACTTCTTATAACCAAATGCTTCAACATATCCTCTTTCAAGTCCACCAGTGAGAACAAGTAACTAAACAGGGCTCTGGCATCTAACTGCATCTATTGTAAGTAGAATTACAGTATGTGTTGTCCTAAATCCTTACTTATCATAATTATTAAGTATTATTGTTGTTTCTTATCCCCTTGTGGAAATATTACAAAAATTCCATGAGTTCATGCCTTTCGAGCTGTTTGATGATAAGCAGTGGCCTCTCCCAACGGTCCTGTTTAGTGCATCTAATATAAGCCAAAATGTGCTCTGGAGCTGCAGATGCCAAGCTACATTTTGGACAAGTGGGGTAGATTTTGTTATTGTTTCCTATCTTCAATGGCTTGAGATGGCCTGTTCTAAATTTTGTTAGTGTTGTTTGGTCCTGTCTATTTCTGAGGTTCAGAGCTTCTCCTGGGTCCACTCCACTGTACTAACTGTGCTTAGGTGGGATCATACAGTTCTTGTTTATTTTTGTTTTGGCTACTGTTTCTATTTATTTAAAACTAAGTTTATTTTTCAGTGGCAAGGGTTATAAACACAAGATAATAAGACCAAATCCAAATAAATAAATAGTGTGTGACGTTTCGGCAACAGCGTTGTTATCATCTTCAGACAAAAGTATTGAATGAGAAATTTACCACAGCATGTTTTTAAATAGTTACTGTTATCAAGTGTGTAAACAGGATAACAGATAAATATCTTCTGCAAGAACTTATTCTTATCTTGTTTACACACTTGATAACAGTAACTATTTAAGAACATGCTGTGGTAAAATTTCTCATTCAATACTTTTGTCTGAAGATGGTAACAATGCTGTTGCCGAAACATCACACACTATTTATTTATTTGGTCTTATTACCTTGTGTTTATAATCTATAATCCAAATTGTGCCTTATCAAGTGGCAAGGGTTCTTTTGTGCCTTTTTATAATGTATACTTGGAATAAGGAGCAACACTACCACATATATACGTAGATTCTTTTTTTCTCTCTCTCTTTATGAAAAATCAATCTCAATCATTTAGTTTTATATTAGGACTATAAATAAGTCTGTGTGTTTTATTTTCTTCCAAAATTGAAGCTATATTGTAAAATTTGGTTAGACATTCAATGTTCAAAATATTGTCCGTTGCTAGCCAATACTTTTTTCCCATTGATAAAGCACAATTTGGATTATAGATTATAATAAAAGAAAACAAGACCTAATCCAAATAATTTATTAGTGTGTGACGTTTCGGCAACAACATTGTTCTTTTGTCTGATGATGGTGACAATGTTGTTACCGAAACGTCACACACTAATAAATTATTTTGATTAGGTCTTGTTTTATTTTACTTTTTCCCATCTTTATGGCAATTGATGGATCCCATCGCGGAAAAAGGCTGGCTCTTTGGCAGCTATCCATTCATCGATCCATTTTTTGACTTCATCGTAATTAGAGAAGTGTTGGTCAGCCAGGCCATGTTACATTGATTGGAAGAGATAATAATTAGAAGGAGCAATGTCTGGGCTATACGGCGGGTGGGGTAGTACTTCCCATTTGAGCATTTCTAAGTATGTTTTAACGAGTGCTGCAGCATGTAGCCAAGCATTATCATGCTGCAAAATAACTTTGTTGTGTCTATTGGCTTATTGCAGCCGTTTTTTATCGCAATGTTCGGCTTAAATGCATTAATTGTCTTCGGTAGACCTCCCCTGTGATCCTTTCATTCAGTTGTAGCAGCTCATAATATACCACTCCTAGTTGGTCCCACCAAATACACAGCATAATCTTCACGCCACGGCTTGGGCATCGATGATGAGGCATGTAAGGCTGCACAATCAAAGAAAGACAAACCAATAATAAAAGTGGTAATCTAATTTTATTATTGTTATAATTTATTTATTATATATATTTATATCTCCGAGTTACCCGATGCCACTAGAGTTTACAAAAAGTGTTTTTTTTTTTTTTATATTTCATGTTGTCATTTTACATATGTACAAAAAACATCTAAGTAATGATATGATTTCATCAAAAAGGCTCTCTGATAACCACCGTGTTGAGTCTACACTGCAAGGATATGTCAGCTGGGGTAGATATCAAGTTTGGTAGATAGACCAAGCTGATTGATAGACAAGCCGTAGACAGATATATTTACATATTAAAAAAAAACAACAACAAAAAAAACTTCATTAAAAAATAATTACAGTTAAAAAAACCTCTTTAATACAAGACCACTTCAAGGGATAATAGAGATGATTGCTGTTGAAGTATCAGTATATTGAGTTGGTTAAATTAAAATTGATACTTTATAGGGATTATTTGGTAAAATGGCTGGATTCAAGTGGATGTTGATTTAAAGAGGTTTAACTGTAACTAACCTAGAGTTAAAAAGAGAGAGAGAGAGAGGTATAAAAAAAAAAGTAAAAAATCAATTTGTTTAAAAGACAAATTGCACAAAATTTAAAAAAACACAAGTTTGATTTTTAAAAAAGAAAAAAGCATGCCCTTTATATAAGTAATTATTATTTTTTTTACAAAATATTTTTGGGAATGTCACACACACATATCATATATATATATCATAGAAAAATATCACATTAGAGGAAATTTATATAGATTTTCTTTTTTTTTTTTTTTTAAGGTAAAAAATATAAATAAAAGATAAGTGCATATTTGCTAAGTACAAAAAAAAAAGAGATATATATAAAAAACTATTTTATATATAAATATTTAAAAATAACTAGAGGTTTTGCTAGGGTTTTTTTTTTAAATGGTTTAAAAAACAATGCGGTCACTCACCCAAACAAAAACAAAAAAAGTTATCAAATTCAGATGTTTCAACTCAAGTAACAGCAGCTGTATTATCTGTTCTGGCAGAGTAGACAAACTTGTCCCAATTAATGTCT